TAATTTTATTTCAAGTTCCGCATTTTTTCTTCATTTAATCCTTTTTCTAATAATTCTAAAATGTTTCTGATTGGTTCGTTGTTTCTAATCACATCCATCCGCTAGACTTTTTACTTTCCAATTCCGTCAATCAAATTGAATTCTAAGGATTTTAACACCTTTCGATAACTTTAAGTTTATTTAAAAGGTAATCTAATCTAACTCGTCTTTATCGAAAGTATTTTTTTGGCTTTTTTTTTACCGCTCGCATCTTCTGTTCTATTTGAAAACACCCCCGTTGCCCATCTGACCTTTTATTTGTTTGTCGTTTTTTACTTCTTATACAAGCGCCATTTTAACTCGTTCGTCTCTTTCGCTTTGCGCGCTCACACTGAACCTGATAAGGATTTTTGTTTAGATAAACAGCGATGTGGAAACGACATTCCAAAGAAGCGACCGTTGTACGTTGATCACCACGTTTGATTGCGCTGAAACGAACCGCAGAAGAGTTCACCGGAAAATGGCAAGCAACAAAATACACGAAAGCAAAAGAAAACTAAAGAAGTCAACGCGAAAAACAGACAAACTTAACGAGAGGAAATAAAATGAATGGAGAAGAGAAAAATACGCGGGAATAAACAGATTTAAGGAGTCAGAAGACAAACATTAACATAGGGAATATTATCACAAGGACAAAGAATGAGAAAAAATAATTGATAACTACAAGCGATCTTTCTCTCTATCTATCTATCTATCTATCTATCTATCAGTTGTGTTCATATCTATCTATCTATCTATCTATCTATCTATCTATCTATCTATGTTCAGATCTATCTATCTATCTATCTATCTATCTATCTATCTATCTATCTATCTATCTATCTATCAGTCTGTTCATATCTATCTATCAATCTATCTATCTATTTATCAGTGTTCAGATCTATCTATCTATCTATCTATCTATCTATCTATCAGTCTGTTCAGATCTATCAGTGTTCTTATCTATCTATCTATCTATCTATCTATCTATCTATCTATCTATCTATCTATCTGTCATTTATTTCAGATCTATCTATCTATCTATCTATCTATCTATCTATCTATCAGTGTTCATATCTATCTATCTATCTATCTATCTATCTATCTATCTATCAGTTTGTTCATATCTATCTATCTATCTATCTATCTATCTATCAGTGTTCATATCTATCTATCTATCTATCTATCTATCTATCTATCTATCTATCTATCTATCTATCTATCAGTTTGTTCATATCTATCTATCTATCTATCTATATATCAGTGTTCATATCTATCTATCTATCTATCTATCTATCTATGGGAGGTATCGTAAACGGAAATTAACACAAGTTTTAATACAAACGAGGAATAAAAGAAAGAAGAAAGAAAGAAAGAAAGAGAAGAAACATTTACGAAAGTTTCATATGAAACAGAAAAATGATTCGGGAACTCTTGCGAAAAGACTATATATATATATATATATATATATATATATATATATATATATATATATATATATATATATAAAATAAGTTATTACAAAATTCGCTTGAAAATGAAGCAGTACTAGGGATTTTAATTTAATTTTATAATTAAATTTGAATTTTTTAGTTTCTGTTTTTGAAACATGTTAATTCCTGCTCTAGGAACCATATTTTTAAATTAGTAAATTTATAATATTTATGCTCTACAGGATTGCATAAAAATCAAAATAATTAATAAGAACACCGGATTATAAATCTTTCTGTTTTTCAGTATTACTCAAGAATCTTGCCAATGTGACCTTCATCTTCTGGCTTTCTCCTTCTATATGTTGGATAAACCAGCTTGATTTGACCCTTTGTTGTGTATTTGATGAAATACTTCACTGAATGAATGGATGAGCAGATTTTAACATTCATATGACAGTTGAATTATCTACATTATTCGGACTGTTGTCCTCATCTTTGTTGCCATATTTATGACAACGTTTTAGGACACATGGCACAGTGGATAAAGGCGTTAGTTAGATCAAGTGACAGGACCCAAAGAGTGTGAGTTCAAAACCTGATTAAGGCGTTGGCGAGGAGAATTACTAGTGCATCTTTAGTATAATTTGACTATATTTTGGTTAAATCACTTATTTAATTCTGAATTAGGAGACGGGAATTAACAGGAGATTACTACTAACTGACTAACTGACATCCATTAGACATTGCACGTGGAACTAGAACAGTCTACCCCAGTGAGCGAAATAAAGGATTCAGTTTGACATTCCAAGCACATGAAGAAGGCCGGAGCGTACAACAGCCGAAACGTTGTGATAAATACGGCAAAAAAGATGAGGAAAATAGTCCGGATAATGTAAATAGTGTACATAGTACCTCATCTCAGAAATATAGATAGGGAGTTGAGTTCTCGCAACAAATATCTACTGTAAGGCACTACCTACTGATTAGTGATTTCCTGTCCAACTTGGGGTCCATATTGTCTCATTCTGATCTTGCCGATGTAACCTCCATCTTCGGTTTTTCTTCTATATTTTTGATAGGATTAATTACCTTGTTCAAATTCAAATTTAATTAAAATAAAAAAAAGCAGTGGATGTTTAGTGTTCCCAGTGGATCCCCTCCGAGCAAAATAAAATATACTTATCCAAAATACCTTAGGAGTCATTCCCTTCTTCAAATTCATATTTTAATTTATATCAATGTTAAAAAAAAAATCGTGAATTTTTTCAAACAAAGGAGCGCTATATTATTTTTAAGATGCATAGAAGGAAAGAGAAGAAGAAGAGGGACAGATGGGGCAAATGTACCAGTGAGTGGAGGGTAATTGAAGTGCACATACTTTATTAACCAGACTCATATGAGAGGAATTTTTGTACCTATGCAACGGCTCTTGACCTCGGATCTCTTCTAGTAAAATAATTTTTAGGATAAAATGAAAGAATATGAGAAAAAAACTTAACGATAGAGGGTCAAAAAACTAAACTGGAATTCAAACCTCAAATTAAACAAGATATAAAGAAAAATATTTGTTTTAACTCAATTTTGAACTTACGTGTATAATGTAAAAATTCAGAATTACATAAGTGATTTAAAAAAAATATATAAAATAAACAAAAGATGCACTAATAATTTGGAAGCAATAATGAATAGACAAAACTTTCAGGAAAATAGAGTTAACACTAGTAATTTGAACTGTAGAAATAAGAATAAATGTCCATTAGAAGGAGCTTGTATAACCGACGCAATAATCTACCGTCCTGGGTTAGACGATAAAGTACATCCGCGTCCTGAATAAGACGATAAATTACATCTGCCTCATAAGTAAGACGATAATCTACATCCGGGTAAGAGGAAAAAGTATATCTAACAGGAAGCACTCTGATGAGAAGGTTTTGAGGAGCGTGAAACCACCTCTTAATTGCTGATTTTCCCAGGATAGGGTCCCAGCTATGGGCAAATAATTAGCCCCCAAACTGGGGTCAAAACGTGTATAAATAAGTTTTATTATCAACAATGATATTTTTAAATAAAAAGTTATCAGTAATGCATTATTATCAGCAATACATTTTGAAGCAAAAATATTACCAGCAATAAAAATCTTTTGAGCATTAAATAACCTGTTGAGGTTGATATACCGTAAAATAAACCAAACCTGCAAAACCTTCAATAATCTATAAAGCAGAATAAAACGTGCATAAGATGTTTCTTTCAAACGAAGATGGTATGATCATAGGTCATCATTCAAGCTAGTAAGTTTTATGAGCTCTACCAAAATGTGAAATTTAAAAGATGAAAACAGCAAGGATCCGATTGAAAAAGGGAAATTTAAAGAAAGGCCAACAATCACAATAATATTTGCAGCCTTTGCCAAAAGGAAAAAATTAGCAACAATGATATTTCCGGATTCAAAAATCTTTTGAACCAGAGAACGAATGTCAAGAGCCATTGCATACATGCAAAAAAATTCCTCTTAAGCTCATATGAGACCGGTTAAAAAAGTATATACATTTCAATTAACCCCCACTGATACATTTATAACACCCTTGCTCTTCTTCTTCTTCTCCTCCTTTTCCTCCTCCTCCTTCTTCTTCTTCTTCGTCTCCTCCTCCTCCTCCTTCTTCTTCTTCTTCGTCTTCTTTTTCTTCTTTTTCTTCTTCTTCTTCTTCCTCCTCCTCTTTTTTCTTCTTTTTCTTCTTCTTCTTCTTCTCCTCCTCCTTTTCCTCCTCCTTCTTCTTCTTCTCCTCCTCCTCTTCCTTCTTCTTCTTCTTCTTCTTCTTCTTCTTCCCTTTCTATCACACAAAACGCTGTGCGTTTGGTTATTTATTTTTTAAAATAATATTGTTTTGTTTAAAAAAAAGAAAGAAGAAGAATTGGGAAGTCAATGGGTAAAAAATTGCCTGGGGATACCACGGTAGCGAAATCAACTGATCTCTTATTTTTTAAATTAAAAAATCTACATGATATTCTTTTTTTCTTTTTAATTTTTTTCGCGTGTATTGAGCACTTCTTAATACTACTGTTTCCTGGTCCAGTTCAACCCTGTCCATTAAGCTTTTGATGTATTATTATATATATATATATATATATATATATATATATATATATATATATATATATATATATATGACAAATGGGGAATGAAAAACGAAGAAGAAAATTGGAACTTGTAAGTGAAATGCAAATGGCGTCGTGGGTTTAAGAAAGTTAAGGTAAAGTAGAAAGAAAGGTAAAGAAATAAGAATGGCAATAACAACCGGTTGGAATTTAGAGTTAAAAAATAAAAAAAGGAAATAAAATGGATGACGGAGGTAAAGAAAAAACTGAAAAAAAAATCTCGAATTAAGTGACGTTGAAAGTAGAATGAAATGAAGATGGCGTCAGTTTGTGTTATAAACAGAGATAACAAGTGCGTATCTTTAACGGATGTTTTAAAATATAGCGTTGAGTAATGAGTACACATTACGAGAAGAAGTGGAATGAAGAGAAATCTCAAAGAAGAATGAATATAAATCAAGAAGAAGAGGCAGAAGAATGAGTATAAAATAAAAGACGAACAAAAAGAAAAAGGAGAATGGATAGAAAAAAATAAGCGAAATGGGATAGAAATCTCAAAGAAGAAAAAGAAGAGGAACGCGTAGAAATCTGAAGGAAGAAGAAGAGAGGGAATAAAAACAAATCTCAAGAAGAGGCTGAGTGCGTAGAAGAAGATAAATGGGTACAAATCTCAAATACGAAAAGGGCGGCGAATAAGCACAACTATCACTGAAGAAGAAGAAGAAGAAGAAGAAGAAGAAGAAGAAAAAAAAAAGAAGAAGAAGAAGAATGGTTGCACATTTCGAAGAAGAGGAGGAATGAGTACAAATCTCGGAAAAGAAGAGGAATATGTACAAATCTCAAAGAAAAAGAAGAGGAGGAACGAGTACAAATCTTGAATAAGAAGAAGAAGCGGGGGAATGAGTACAAACCTTGAAGAAGAAGAAGAAGATGATGAAGACGAAGAATGAGTCCAAATTTCGAAGAAAAAGATAAAGAAGAGGAATGAGTACAAATCTCGGAGAAAACGAAAAAGAGGAACGAGTAAAAATAGAAGAAAAAGGAATAGAAGGCGAAGTAGAAGAAGAAAACGAAAAGGAATAAGTACACATTTCGAAAATGGTGAAGAAGTGCAAACAGCAATGATTGTAAATCTAGAAGAAGAAGAAGAAGAAGAAGAAGAAGAAGAAGAAGAAGAAGAAGAAGAAGGAGAATGATTACAAATCGAAGAAGGTGAATAAGTAGAATAAAAGGAATGAGTACAATTCTGAAAGAAGGTGATTAAGAAGATGAAGAAATCGAAGAAAGTGAATAAGAAGAATAAAAGGAATGAGTACAAATATGGAAGAAGGTGATTAAGAAGAAGAAGAAGAAGAAGAAGAAGAAATCGGTGGAGAATAATAATAAAAGGAATGTGGACAATTCTGTAAGAAGGTGATTAAGAAGAAGAAGAACAAGGAATCGACGAAGGTGAAGAAGAGGAAATAGTACACATTTGGAAGAACAAGATGGAGAAGAAGTCCCTGAAAAAAAATAGAAATGAAGAAATATAACAGAGATGAAAAGAAAAAAAAATGGGAAGGAGATACAGAATGCAAGATTATAATCGTTATGTAAGAAAATAATTATTGTTAACTATATAGTTTCCAAACTTGCGAGAAAAAAAATATATATATATAAAGAAAGACAGATGTATGCCGCATGTTCACATACATATATAAACATGCGTGTATCCATTTAAAGACAAAAGTCGAAACAGATGAGGCAAAAGATAAAAAAAAATCATCTCGTTTGTGTCTTGTGTTCCGATATCGGAGTTGAATGAAAGACCAGTTCAATCAGCAGAATATCCTGTAGGGGAAGCAAGTTGTTCAAAGACAAAGGAATGATAAGGGAGAAATTAAACAAAAAGAAATCAGGAGACGAGATTTTCCAGTTGAACGGAATCGAAATTTCAGATTGCAAACCAAGCAGCTAAAAAAAGAAAATAAAATAAAAATAAAATAGTAATATCAATAAAAGAAAAAAAAAGTATGGGGAGGGAAAGCCGGGTAGGACGAAGAAACATCGAGAAAAGAACACAAATAAAAAGAATGATGGGGGAAAGCCGTATTGATAGAGAAAGGTTCGATAAAACCCTGATGTCTGATAAGGACGAAATATGTAGTAAAATAAACGAAAATAAAACCAAAAATGTTTAAAACTGCGAAAACGGATGTGAAAAGACACAAACTAAATTATTATGATAGAAAAAAGGTGTTTCCGTAAAGTGATGGGTAAAAGTTATTAAAAACATTACTGAATAAAAGAGGCAGTTCATCTGGAAAATACAACAATGCTTCTATATTCTCCGTCCCGTCAAGACACGGGCGTGCATGGTTCTCCAAAATTTGCTATTCCTCGCAGAACATATGTCCAGAAGGTGCCACGTCTTTATATTCCACTCCCAAAAACGTCTCTGAATCCTTGTGACTGATCAGTTATTTGTCACCCTACAGGCCTTTACTCGCAGACGAGAAGACAAGATTCATAATGCTATCTCGCCATTTCCATGGAGAGTGTTCAGACGAACTACACAGTCCTAACCTAGACGGCTAAGTCCCGGCAAGCCATGCATAAAATAGCGAAACACTGTCATTCCGTTCGTATCCCTTTGGTGAGATTCCAGTCGAACAGCTTCTTCCCACGAAAGACTATCTTGTGAAACCGACTCTCTTAGAGGTTGATTCCCCGATCCCTACTATCTTAAGCAGTTTAAGTCTAAGTTTAATCCTTATTCCTAAATACGAGGGTCATTCAATAAATAAGGTGAATTTGTCGGTATAAGGACTTCTAATACAGATAGACGCTTATATTTTTTAAATTTCTTTTTGTTTTACTTCTTTTTCACATGGATTTAATTTCTTTTGCAGTTTAAAAAAAAAAACTTTGAGAGTTTTGGCGATTAACAAAGATGGCCGACCAAGATTGAACAGCGGTCAGTTATCAAGTTTTTGGTTGCTGAAGGGTGCAAACCAGTTGGAATTCATAGGAGAATGTCAACTGTGTATGGTGCCACATGTTTCAACCAAAAAAATGTCTACAAGTGGGCTAAATTGTTTAAAGAAGGGCGGAGCAGTGTTGAGGATGAAGACAGGCCTGGGAGGCCTACAGAAGTGAGGTCTCTTGAGGTGATCGAATCAGTCAATGACCTCATTCAGTCTGACAAAAGGGTGACAGTGGATGACATTTCAAGGAGTTTGAGCTTATCTGTTGGGACAGCACGCAAAATTGTCCATGATGACCTTGGCTACTCGAAGGTCAGATGCCGGTGGGTGCCAAAGATGCTTACTGCAGAGCACAAAGAGAAGGAGGGTCGAGTTGTCCCAGCAGTGTCTCTCCCGCTATGAGAAGGATGGTGATGATTTTCTGAAGAAGGTGGTCACATGTGACGTGATATGGGATTGGCCCTATGAGCCTGAGTCCAAACGGCAGTCTATGGAGTGGAAGCATGTAGGCTCTCCAGCGAAGAAGAAGTTCAAGTCCCAGCGGTCCACGAGGAAGGTGATGCTCACAGTTTTTTTTGGGATATGAAAGGCCCAATCACCATTTCTTTCCTTGAGAAAGGAAGCACTGTGAACAGTGCCAACTACTGTGAACTGCTGAGGCAGGTCAAGAACGACATAAAGAACAAACGCAGGGGTCATCAGTCAGAAGGAGTCATCTTGCATCATGACAACGCAAGGCCTCACACAGCAGCCCAAACGGTGCAGACCATCAATGAGCTGGGCTGGGAACTGCTCCCTCATCCCCCTTACAGCCCAGACCTTGCCCCTTTCAGACTTTCACCTGTTTGGTCCCTTGAAAGCGTTCACGAGAGGCACGAAGTTTAAAAGTGACGATGAAGTCAAAAGTGTTGTGAGCGACTGGCTGAGACATCAGTCCAAAGATTTTTACGCTGAGGGAATACGGAAGCTTGTGCACAGACCGGAAAAATGTGTGACAGTGCTGGGAGACTACGTTGAAAAATAAAAAGAAAAAAAGTAAGATTCTATCTGTATTAGAAGTCCTTATACCAAAAAATTCGCCTTATTTATTGAATGACCCTCGTATATCCGTATCAGCTATGCCTCTTCATCTGTATCCTTCTATCTCGACCTCCCTTACACAACGCAAGGCGCTAGTGTCCCGCTGGCGTGCCTCCAACGATGGCCTCTAGCGGTCCGCCAGTGTTAACACTGCCGAGACGAACACGACAGCGGTCCGACAGCGGGCCACCAGCATTAAACGTCAGTTGCATGCCACCCAGTGGGACATTGGTAGCTTTCATGTAGGGTTGTAGACGGTAAACATCATTATAAAAAAAATTGCTTCAGCCATCTATTCAAACAATTTCGTCAGATAGGTGACTATTCCCCCCTATCCTTCTTCCTCTGATATATCATGTGAGTGTTAAGTTTTCCAATAACTCCCTCCTCATCACGCTTTTAAAGAATTTCAGCTGTCTTTTCCTGGTTTTGAGCACAAGTGTTCTTTCCATTGCCATTTTTTTTTATCTAGTTGCTTGCTCATTCCGTCCAAGGAATTCTCAGTATCCTTCTGTAGATTCACGTTTCTGCTGCCTCTAGTTTTCTCCTCGTCTGTGGGAAGATTGTTCAGCAGTCACCGTAAACACTTCCCAGAATAGGAAGATGAAAATAAAGATAATTTTCAGCGCATCAGTGGAATATGCTCTTGCGGTAGGTTTCGATGCATCGACGGAAATCGAAATTAATTTTTGCATCCCCCTCGCCCCGCAGAAAAAAAAATTAAAAAAAACAAAAAAAAAACAGGGAAAACTGCTGATATACATATTTGAGAACTGTTTCGAAACATTGCAATCCTACCATTCTTAAATCTATCAGTTTAAACAACAACAGCAACACACACACACATACACACGGATACACACAGACACATACACGGACACACACACACACACACACACATACACAGCTCTCTGTCGCTCTCACTTTCCCATAATCTTTCTCCATCTACTTCTTCTATTATCTCTTGCCTTATCGAAAAAGGGACCATGCAGGAGAGATTATAAAGCGGGTATATTGTATCAAATCACATGCCAATCTGATGATGTGGCTGCGCAGCCCACCACTCAAAGAACAGGAGAGCTTATCCTGCACAGCTTGATGTTCGTAGTTGTCGACTCTGAAAACAGCCATTTTTGATTGAGAACAAAAGTTTATGTCATAATTTCTTTCTTTAAAGAGCTTTATCAAGGTAAGTATAGAATGTTTATTACTACGTGTAAATATAGAAGTTTTTTTATACTTACAGGTTGCGAATGCTATTATGGAGATGTGATTAAATATAATTTAATCTAAAAAAATATTCAGTATTATTATTGTTTAGGTAATAAGCATTATAACAGCACATTAAGCTACGTTGTGGAAAAAGGAATTTTCGACAATATGCACATTTTTTACGTATTTAGATTAACTTTTAAAATTTTTATAAAAAACGACATTCTTGTACATGTAGTTAATTTTATATATTAATTAAAAATGTCAACAGCTTAGCACAAATAGTTATTAATTGAAAAATGATGTGCTAAAATTTTGGAATAATGCAATAATAAAGATTTAAAATTCAACTCTCTGATAGATGTCACGATCTGTAAATAAATTTTCTATAGTTGTCTTGAGAAATCTCCTAAAAAGAAGGAAACGCGTTGACATAAAACGTTTTCCTTTTGTCTTTTCTCTCTTGCCTCTCTCTCTCTCTCTCTCTTCCTCGCGATCTCTCTTTCTATCTATCTATCTATCTATCTATCTATCTATCTATCTATATATATATATATATCTATATCTATATATATATATATATATATATGCCCATATACCAGGTGTAACGGCGAAATTGTCCAAATCGTGTAACAGCTTGCGATAATTGTCCATCTCACAGGATTTTTAACATCTAAGAAAACACTAAACTAATTGAGATTACTTTTTCCAGGTTTTCAGCTAAGACTTTTCGCCATCTTGAAACCATTTTCGTAAGAATCACTGAAAACCCTTTGAGTATATTCAGCTAGAAAAAAAGAACAGGTTAAAATCATTTTCTGCCAGCCCCGCTTTATCTTGCTAACTGAGTAATGGTGTGAGGAAAAATATCATGCAGGCCTTCAGCAATGTTGCCTTCATTCATAATATGGCTTCCAATCTTCAATTCCATTCAAGAACCATCAAGAGAACGGTGAATAAGTTTAAAACAAAGGGAAGAGTAGACAGGAAACCTGCATCAGGCCGACACAAGAGCAAGAGGGATCACCATTTCAAATTAGATCTAAATACATTGTTCAAAATAGAGTCTAATAGTGTTATAAAAACCTCGGAGAAATGCAGTAAGATATATTAAATTATTTCTAAGATAAACGGTTCAAAGCATAATCTAAAAATTGGACACATTTGCTGTTACAGGATTTAGACAATTTTACTGTTACACACGATTTATATATATATATATATATATATATATATATATATATATATATATATATATATATATATACCTTTTGCCAGACACTTTGACATCGCCGTGACGTAGACTTCCTATGCCTTTTTTATATATATTGCTATAGAGGCGGATAAATCAAATAACTAGATATGCGCGTCTATATACGTAGGTATATATATATATATATATACACACACACACACACACTCACACACACATATATATATATATGTGTGTGTGTGTGTGTGTGTATGTATGTATGTATTTCATCGTAATGTTTCTGATAGGCTTTCCTCGATCATACCTAGACTTCATGTATATAAGCGCAGTAATAGATGGTCGCAAGATCTAATACAGTTAGAATGATTAGTAATAAACGTAAGTTCTATGCTAAGAGTTTCTTCTCTCGCACTTCCGGCTTCTGGAACTCTCTTCCGGTTCTTTGCTTTACAATCAACTTTGGACTTCAAAAATGTAAATGCAATGTCAATATCTTCTTTTATTGTTCTCTGTCATTAATAATTTTTTCCCGTATTCTTTCACACGCAATAACACCTTGCGTCATTGTGGCTTTATTGCCTTGTTCGTTGTTAAATTATAGATCTCTATATATACCTCCTCACGACACAAAAGGTTTAACAATATTTGAAGCGAAAATTTAGGAATAACCTAAATAATTCGTAAATCTTCGCTTGAGGATGAAACAGGGCTTGATACTTCAACTCAATTTAATTTTAATAATTATATTGAGGTTTTCGGCTCTCGTTTTTGAAACATGAGAACTCTTGTGTAGCGAAGGAATTATATTTTTTTTAAATAATTATAATTTAACCTCTACTTCTGTATGGAGCACTGTTTTTTTTTTTGTTTTTTTTTAAATAAAAAACAAAAATACTAAAGAACTCCGGATTATTTACCTAACGTGTTCTTTCCTATTTTTTCTACATATCGGCACACACACACACACACACACACACACACACACATATATATATATATATATATATATATATATATATATATATATATATATATATATGACAAAATATAGTTTTAAGTTATGCTATATGAATGGGTAAAAGTGCCCAATATCACGGATAAACCATATATAATTATAAAAGTTGATACTGAGTTCAAGATTGAACGCCGACTGTATTTCATGTTTGAACGCTATCTTCAAGCTTCAAAATCAACCATGCATCTTCATATATATATATATATATATATATATATATATATATATGAGAGATGTTGATGTTGTGTGTTTCATTTCAATGTGTTTCTCTATGTATAATGTGTCTGTAGAATGTGCAGTTTGCTTTTATCGAAATTAGATGAAATACTATTTGCAAAGGGACAAGCCGATAATGTTTGCCAGTGTATGTTGACGAAATTTTATTTATTTTTCAGCGTCATTTTGGTTTGGAATAGTATTTTTTTTCCCCTAACTTTTATTTGCGTTTTCCTTCTTTCTTTTATTGTGTCCAGAGTTGATTGGATGTTTTGTCAGCAATCGACTTGCGGAACGCGAACAGCGACTTAAATGACCGACACAGATCTGTGCAAACAACGGCTTGGACATTCGTGGCGCTAATATATAGAAAATGTATGGAACTAATTGATTCAAGGCCTTTTACAAAAAAAATGTTTTCTGACCAAAAATAACAACAAAAATATATTCATCTTCATTTGCGTGCGGGCTCCCAATTTGGATACACAATGTTAACTTTGCTTTACAATATAATTAAATAATCCTTATTGCCCTATACAGGTTCGAGCTAATATCGGCACTTTTTTTATTTTTTATTAAAATGCCATCGTGCGTGCATACAACAGAATGCACGCACTTAGTTAATGCTGTTTGGAATTCTTGACGAAAGTATTACGATCATATCAATGAACTAGCAGTATAACCCGCCTTCGACCGGGTGTTGCATTACTGGGAATTTTTACCGTCCATTTGGAGCAGTTGAAGTTTAAAGTCAGCCCACCCGAAAATC